AGGGTGCAGCCTCTGCTGAGGGTTTTGGGGAGGCTGAATTGCAGTGGAAGGAAGAGCTTCCTAGCATATGATCGGTAATGGGATCATGTTTTTTGAACAGCGTAAGAAGAAAATTAACACCAATTACTTGGTTTCCTGCCAGCAGGACGTGAACATCTTACTTCTTAAGGTCATTCTGCTCCTCTTTGGGACAGCACTGATAGTAGGAGCAGTGGAATAATGCATTTATTTGCCTTTATGGAAGACCTAGAAGCTTATAAACTGCGAGCATGTTTGTATTTCTCTTTGAGTGGGTTTTGCTTAATTGTTGCTGCGGTGATGCCAGAGTGGCCTGTGCTGTTCGGGTGGGCTGCAGGCTCTTACTGAAGTGTTTGCCCATGCACAGCCCTCTCCCCCAGGCAACTCTTGGCTGTTTTGAAGGCAAGTCAGTTAGGAAGCCTGGTTTGCAGGAAGAGTATCACCTCTTTCCCACTGCTGGGTCCCTACAGCTAGATTTGTGCAAATGGATTATTTGTAGTTCTGGTTGTAGCTAGATCAGAATGCATATTTCTTCCTTCACTTCTGAGAGGAGTATTGTACGGAAGAAATAATCTGCCTAAGTATGCATTTTTTTTTCCAGAAATGCACATAATGAAATCAAAGTTGAAAAAAGAGTACCTGCTTTGCAGGAATGTGCAGGCTGCTTGCTCTGCTTGTTGGAAAGTTGCTAGCTATTTTTTGTTTTGTTCTCTGCCTTTTCTGTTGGTGTTTGTTTTGTTTTGTTGTGTTTTTCTGGAGAAAGCAGGGAGCATCAGAATTGTTCTTTGGCCTCAGTTGCTAAGCCTGCCTGATCCAAATCGAGTTTTTAAAGTTGAGGGGAGAGAAATCTGCAATCCCCAAAGGCATATGAGCACCCAACAAAGTTCTGGACTGAAGCAAAGGTGTCAGCTGCAAAGAATACACAAAAGCTTTACTGGAGAAAGCCTGTCCAAGGCTTAGTGGGAGAATTTCTGGCTGACACTCTTTTTACCAGAGTGGTTAGGAAGTTCTAAATTTTATTTTACTACATTGGTTTGGCCTTTAACAGTTGTATCCATGCTTGCATTGGAATTCCACTTCTATTTTTTGTTGACTTGAGCTTTCTGTAGAAGCATAGTTATGGTAGTCTCTGGCAGCTTGACCATGCAGATCCCAGTCTGGCAGATTTCTCGAAAAGGGTAAAAGTTTCATAGAAGGAAATACATAGAAAGCTGTAAGTTATATTGAAAATTTTTCGGGTTTCTTAGGTAGGAATGCCATCCACTTCTTAGTCCTCCTGAGGGAAGGGGTACCACTGTAGATCAAAACCCTGCAAATCAGGAGCTAAAAGGGGGCCTGCAATTTTTTTTCTCCTCTCTCCTTAACTTTCATTTTAGTGGGAAACACAAGTCCCCATCCAGCATGTCAATGACAGTTTCCTCCTTGTTTGGGAACAGTCTCTCTCATGGCCCAGGAAGGCCTATTGCTTCAGGACAGATTCACGTGTGCAGATGTGTTGCTCTGCAATCACAGTGTCCTAAATACTAATACAGAAATGAATGAGGGGCCCAGAAGCGTTAAAACAATCTTTTGGAATTTTCCCAATGCCATTAGATTTAATGACAGTGTCCTACTTAGCCAACCTTGCCTCAGCATTAGTATTTTAGAGACTTTTAATAGCAGCTCCTTCATTCCCTTGGCAATATGGGAAGTTTTGGTTGTGCATTCCTATTACATGTACCAGGTTAATGTTTGGTTGGTTTTTTTAAAAACTGTTTAGAAAGCATTGGTTAGGTGTGAAGTTCTGACAGAATTATGTAATGCTTTTTCATTATAGATCTAAATTAATCTTGTATAGAGAGGAAAACATTATTTGTGTTGCCTGGTATATATTTCAGTCTGTGGGAAGTATGATTTGCAGTGTGAAGGTTGGAATTGGCTTATTGGATCTTGTTCCAGTAAATTATTCTTAATCTTTATGCTTCAGTGCATTCTTCTCCTCCACTGCGCATCCTTCCTTCCAAAAACTTTCCACTGATGGTGCTTAGAGCTCCAAAAATCCAGCATTATGACTTTCATAGTAACCAAAGTTTATTTTAAGAACAGCATGATGAAATTAGTAACTTTGCTGCTATTCTCTTGTCCTCAACATTGTACAAAACTGTCAAGGTCAATAATTTCCATTTAAGTTCCCAGTGTTAGGAGCTGTTCTTAATTAGAATTTGTTTTATTACTACATGATCAACTGAATTGTCTGGAAAATTTCTTAGGCCATTTGTTTCAAAACAGCCCTTTTCATACTTATTTTTAACCCTTACTTGCCTCCTGTTTTAATTCTTCTTGCATAAATGTATTTTGGCCTCTTGGCTCTTGCATTTAAGATTTCCAAGTGGCTGCTGATACTAATTTAGCTAGTATTGTGTACTTTGTTCCCATATAAACTCTTCACATATTGACTCAGAACAGAAATTTCACAGAGGAAGAATCTGAGTTTTTTTCAGATAAACTAACAAAAACTATAGCAATATGTGCTACCTTACTGGCTAGTTAAAGTGAGCTATAGAATGTCTTTTGGTAGAGAATCTTAATGATACACGTGTGTCAGTATATGTATAGATATTACTGATAGACATCTCAGATATATGTATCTGAATGAGCTACATAACTCCCCTAGCACAGGCAAATCACATCTGCCATTCTGTTTACCTAGGTCATATTACAGTGACATTTTGAACAATTACCTCTTTTATTAGTTGCCATACGTGTAAAAACAAAGCAGAAATATTTTGCTTTAGACTTTCACATTTGATAAAGTAATTTCCTCCTGTGAGCAAATTCTCATCAATTGTAAGGCTCTGTTCACCATGAAGAAACAAACAACTTCAATGAGCAGTGTAATTGCATCTGTAGTTAATGACTTTTGCACATAGAGGTTGTGTAATGTAAGGTGAAATTAAATAAAACCTAGTCACTTTAAAAAGGCCAGATGAAAACTTGCCACATAGTGTTTTATTGTGTTATCTTAGACTCATGCACAGTGGAAAGTTTCACTGGAGGAATGTAAGGAATTTTTTCTTTATTTTGCATGGATTTTTGTGTGAGTGGCAGTCTGGTGGTTTGTGCATATAGACTGTGTTGGAACTGTGCTCTGTTTCTTACACTGTATTTTACTCAGCTTACAGATTTGTCATTACCCAACTACCTGATGGCTTCTTCAGTTGGGCTGCTACCTACTCAGCTCCTGAACTCATACTTGGGCACTACCTTGCGCACCATGGAGGATGTGATTGCAGAACAAAGTGTTAGTGGCTATTTTATATTCAGTTTGCAGGTAAGTTAAAATTATTTCTTCCATAGAGTTTGGTAACAGCAATGTCAGTCTCTTTATGACTCCTTGGAAACTGGAACAGGTTGCCCAGGGAAGTTGTGGAAGCCTCATTGCTGGAAGTGTTTAAAGGCACATTACGTGGAGTTCTGAGCAACCTGGTCTAGTGGGAGGTGCCCCTGCCCATTCAGGGAGGTTGGGTCTAGATGTTCTGTAAGGTCCCTTCCAACCCAATTGGAATGATTCTGTTATTTTTCTGTGCTTGAGTTTATTCCTTTATCCCCTAATTTCTTGCTTATCTGCTATACCAGTGGGATTTGAGATAGGACTTTGCTTATGGAGATAGTAGGCAAGTTTCCTTCCTGTAGCTTTGCCTCTTCAAATCATTGAGTCTTTGCTTCAGAAACTGCATGCCCATAGGAGCACATACAAGATCCAGAGAGAGTCAGCATTGCTGATTTCTCTGTCAGACTGCACTGCCTTCAGTCTAAGGTGTGTGATGCACGGGGGTTGGGGGATGCATGTCTGGGAGGTTAAGAACTGCTCTTGGAATAACAGCTGCCTAGTCTGAGATAGCTGACCTCTTACAGACTGAGAGCCAAGCAAGTATGGTGCGTGGTATTGAAAAGTAGCAAGTTTTAAAACGTGTTGAATTTATAACTGTTACTGGTATTTTCAGCAAACTGTCTAAAACTGACTTCTTTTTCACAGGCTTATTGACTGCTAGATACATAGAGAAATGGGTTTCCAGTGTACTGTTTTCTTTTGTTGCTTTCTTCTGTTAAAAATGTTTCATTATCATAACCTCATGTGACACAAAGCAGAACTTACTCAGTGTTCCTTTTTTCTCTTTCTGCCACAGTTTTGTGAATTTTTTTTTTTATACTTGTCAAGCACCCCTACACAAAAGTCCTGCCACCAGCTGTGAAGTAGTAGGCTTAGGGTGCTTAGACCCAGAACCTGTGCAGTGTTCACTGTTAGCATTGAGCAGTCTCTATTTTGTATAGATTATCAGGAATAAAAGTGCTATAGAAATGCCATTTTGCTAATGCCTAAACCAGAATATCCTAATTTTGCAAGTGAGTAAATTAGTAAGAAGTATCTAGTACCTTTATATGAGTTTAGCTTAGAGATAATTTGTCAGTAAGTCTGGAGGGTAAGCCTCTGAGACCTTTATAACCCTAGAAGTCATGAGTATTTCAGAACCAGATTGTATATTAAAGCAATCTCTGACAGCATTAGTACTTCAGGCTGTGTTTGAATAGCAGTTGCCATGGTTGGCAGACTTTAATATGGTACTGAAGTCATTTATCTTCCTCAGTTTTTGCAATCATAAAGCTGATGTTTAACAATGCTAAGATATAAAACTAAGTCTAGGACCATTTTAGATGTCCTCCCAACCTGCTTCTGAAACTTGGGTGTTCTTAAGTGGGTTATAGGCTTCATAGAACAGGTTTATGAGTATTAAAAGTGCCTTTGTAAATGAAGAGTAAATAGCCTCAATAGATGAAAGAGAAAATAAATGGCTACTTGATCAAGCTTTCATTTTAGTAATTATATGTTACTCCCAGGGTAGCAGGGTTTTTTTGTCTTTTCTTTTTTTTTTTTCATATATTTTTTAAAATTACATTGACTCTCCTTTGTAAGCTGTACAGGTTGTAACATAACTGTCACTCAGGTAAGCTGGAGAGGCTGAATGTCTGAATTGGAGTGCTCACCTCCATGAGAGCAATCCTGGGGACTGAATAAGTCAAGGGGAGCTTGTTAGTAGAGGGGAATTACTTATGTTCTCCCACCTTCTCTCAGGCATCTGCCTGATGCTTTACCTGGCTGGGTTTTGGTGGGACTTTGATTTAGTAAATAGCTCTAAAAATCCTTCACATTTCATGGTTGTCTGTGAGTATGTGTTTTTAAAATCTAGGCCTCTGGCAGCAGTATTTCTAAAACCACTGAAATATTTGGGTAAGCTTTTAGAATCATATTTTTCTGTTCTGTTGTAAGCATTATAAAATTTTTGTTTTTTCAAAGAAAGTTGCAAATTCTAGGTAGTTTCGTAAAACATTATTTTAAAAGGCAGAGGTTTTTCTCCTTTCAAAGGGTCTCTAGCTGTGAGATAGCTTGATTTTTTTATTTGAAGATTTATTTTTTTTTAAAGGAAGGTCTTAGTTGAAAACTGGTGTTTTATTGAAACCAAAGGCCACCAGTGGGAAGTGCAGTGCACACCAGTATAATTGAATGAGTAATTTCTGTGCAAAATTGTCCACATTTATTCCTGATAATTTTTGTGGCGAAAATTTAAAAATGCTTAGCAATAAAATTGAGAGCAAAAACCTGAACTGAAACCTTACTTTTGGACAATATTTCCTCCTTAAAAACAAACAAAAACCCCCACACTACCACATCCTGTCTCCTTCTCAAAGCATCCTCCACAGCCTATGATAAGTTGCTTAGAAACTCTTGATTGTGTCCTGTTTAGTCCTGATATCTAAGCAGCAGTTACACTGCTGCTCTCTGCTGTCTTCCACACCAGAGGGAGAAGAACAAGAAGTTTAATTTCCTTTACTCTGCATCATGCTCTGTCTCTGCTGTTTTGCCAGTTACAGATGCCCAGTACAATTTCCACCTGTTACTCATTTATTAGATGGAAAACAGCCTTTTTGACTTACAGAAGCACACCATGATCTTTCTTTATGGAAACATTTTTTGCCAAAAGATACAAAGTGAAGAGATTACTTTCTAAAAGAGATGTGGATGGTAATCAAATGAAATAAAATACCTTTTCAATTCAAATCAGTTTTGAAGTTCTATGTAATATCAATGTTCTGATGTGCTGGTCACATTGTTAGCTTGTGCAGGTTTTGAGCCACTCATTGATTAAGTTGATAGCCCTTCTGATGTCTTGCCTGTGAATTGAGTCAACACATGCAGCCACGAATCTTTGTGTTGATGACTTCTGGTTTTGTTCAGAGCAGTTGCCCTGTATTCATTCTTACAGTTTCTATAGCCTACAGTGCTCTTTTGTTTTGTTTGCAGATTGTCATAAGCATAGGGCTCATGTTTTATGTTGTTCACCGAGCTCAAGTGGAACTGAATGCAGCTATTGAAGCGTGTGAAATGGAAATGAAGACATCGCTTGTTAAAGACAGTCAGCCAAGCATCAGTGGTTCGAGCACATACTGCAACAAAAGGACAGTAGCATTCTCTGGAGGAGGTGTCAATATTGTGTGATTTTCAAGTATTAATAAAGTAAGGTTTTGTGAACCTGAGCTATTGCCTAGAAGTATCTATGGACAATTCAAATAGTTTTTTACAAAAATAGAAGTGGTTACAGGTTGTACTGTGGCACAAACCAATCGACCAGCTCTTCAGTTGCACACGGGGTGGCTTCTAGAAAGAAAAGAAAGATGGTCAGGTAACTTAAGATGTAAAAGCAAATTTGGCTGCACCTTTGGTCATTTATTATGCCTGTCATGGCCTGTAGCCTGCACTTTAGATTTTTTTCCTTTTTGCTCCAGTAAGCTGAGAAATGCTTCTATAAACTGAGAAAAGTAGCACAGAGGTAAATATTTTTCTGCTTAGCATTATTTATAAGGCTGAATAATTATATGCAGTAGAATTTTATTACTGATAAAAATGAATGAGAAAGTATGCAATTCACTGTATGTTATTCTTGAATGTGCTTTTGCTTTGGAATTGCTTCCAGGTGTGTATTATTTAGCTAATGATGGGACCACTGGGCTTTTCCTTCATTTTTGATTTTGAAAAAAAAAAAGAGAACCCTATAAAAAGTTCTAGCTGAATGTATTTTTCTAAGTCATTAAAAATGTTGCAGAGCCATGCATATGTATTCACACAAGCTTAAATCCTACATTGTGGGACTGAAGTGCTCTTAAATAACATTTTAAGTTACACTGTGTAATATGCAAAGTAAAAGGGAAAATACAGAAGTTGTAAGAGATTGCAGAGACTGTTCAAAGGAGACTTCATGACTTAACTCTTGCATTGGTTTTACCACCTTGGTGATGTAACAAAGGGCTTGTTCCATGTTAGTCCTATTTATAGTATTTTTAATTGTTAAAAGGATGGAGTTTTCTCAACTCGCATGACTGCATGTAAAGGCTTCCAAAACAGGGAGCTCAATCTCCTTTAAACAAGATGATGGGATACTGGCAGTACTAATTTTACATGAAGGTGGCCTTTATTTTGTAAGTGAATCCCCTCTCCCTCTAAAAAGCTTTAAAAATTCACTTGGATTGGCATGTTTTTTCCTGAAAGGTTTACATTTTTTTAAAAGACACAATCTATTCTAAGTTTCATCAGAGTGAAGAAATGAAAACTAGACGTTCTCCTTGAAAATATGAATAATCCAGTAATGGAAGAGGACCGTAATGTCTTTGAGACTCAGGAATTCTGACTCCATTTTTGCAAGACAACACTGTATTGGATAATGCTCCTTTTATGTGAGCTGTGGACTGTTTTTCACTGCGTTTGAATAGGCCAGATAACTCAACAGTAACTTATGTGTGTGTGTAAAAGGAAAACAATATTGCCTGAACGTGATGTCTTGTATGTGTGGGTTTCATGTAGGTATATGCTCAAACACACGCAAGTCATCTGATACAAAAATATATAATGTAATGTATTGCCTATTTTGTAGTTATTTTGTGTTAAGTTTTTAAGGGTGCTTTTAGTCTTCAAGATGTAGTGTTATTTTCCAACAGTATGAATGTGCCTCCCTTGTGTAAGACTGCTTGGTTGGTCCAAGCATTTTTGTCTTGTGGAGAACAGAAGGTCTTCAAGGTCGTTGGGAAGCAGAGGTTTGAAAGCCTCCAACAGTCTTACCCTGAGGATGTTTGGTTCCAGCGTAAGGTGACACCTGTGCATTCCTTGGCACGTTCAATTTTGTTCTTTAAATATGTGTCCTTTGCCAACTGCTGTGCTTGGGTCCCGTGACCTGAGGAACTGAGCTAGTTAAATGAAGCAATGAAGGTCAGATTGTTTTGAGATTTGTGGGGTTTTCTTCGTTTTGTTTTGATTTTTTTGGTTTGGTTTGTTTGGGTTGGTTTGTTTGTTTTTTTAAAATGCAATCTCTATATACTTGGAATTGTTCATTTACACACCTCTGCCTCTGACAGCTCCTGTGTGAAAACAAGAGAGCCCAATAACTTGATGGCGTTATTTGTCATCATAGTATAATTGAGCCCTTTCTTAACTAAAGATTTGTTTTGTCATGTTTTTTGGAAGGAACAGTCCTTCAGTAAATTAACTGATCTGAACTTTGTTCCATCTTGCCAAATCAACAATAGTGTTTTCAAGAGAGTATCTCTTTCTTTGCATTTTTAAACTAACTTAAGGTTGTGTTGGTTATTCAAGGACATTTCCCAAAAATGTATTTTGAAGTGCTTTTATTTCCATGACATTTTGTAACCAGAGGAACTTCACTATGTGAACACTTTTGTAGTATGGAATTAGTTCTTAAGACTTTTGCATTTTGCTTGATACTGTAATATTTGTGTACAAGTTAATGGAAAATGTGCATTAAAAGGAACTTTTCTGTACCATGCCAATCATAATTTTATACAATAAATTCACTCAAATTTCTTTAAAGCAATATGTATTAAATGTTTAGGTTGCTATGAAGTTGGAAAGAAGACGCAGTGGAGTGTTGTCTTTATGTATGTATGCATGTGTTAAGTGAGTAACAAGACAGGATTTAAGGATGAATTTAATGGGTGGGGAGTTACTGACAAGGGAAGGACACTTAATTTTTATTTTTTTAAAAATAAAAGTTAATGAATGCTTAATTCTGTTAAATACTTTAAAGGTTAGGCATTTGTAGCTGCCTTTTTGAAAGAATAACCATGGATGTGCTTGTGAGAGATGTGCTACTGAACTGAAAGAGGATTGGTATTTCTGAATGTAAAAGTGATGGTGATTATTTTTTTAGATAGTGTCCCTACCTAGTGCAATTAGAAAACCAAGAGTATGAATCCAGTTAAAACAGTATGTGGCAAGTCACCTCCATTGATATTTTTCTGAGTTACTATGACAGTGGAATTTCTGTGTTTTGTATATGAAATGTATGTAAATTGAGCATCTTACAAAGGGAGGAATCTCCCACAGCTCTCTCAGCCCTCACTCTCACTGGCACCAATTTTTCTTCCTCTTTGTGCTAAGTGCAACTGTGTAATAAATTTGTCAGAATTGGACTCCATATTAAGCACCCGTGGGGAAAACCCTTTTTTTTCCAAGAGCTTTATATATTATTTTCATATTGAATTTTGCACTATATCTTCAACAAGCATTGCCGAGGTCAAGTTTGAAAAATGGGAAAACTGTTCATACATGGTTTGTGGCTGGTGTCATGTACTGGATCCTTTGTGTTCTACCAGCTTTCTACCCCAGGCTGGTATGATTTGGATTTTGATTGGCCAAGATTACAGGAGTCATCAGTGGCCTTGCAAATAATTTAGGATACAATGCTTAACATGAAATATTATAAACATGTTCCCTTCACTGTTTTGTCATTCTTAATGACAGAATCAAATAGCTTGATTAGTTTAGTGCCAGATTTCCTCTCTGTAATTCAAAGTTGGTACTGGTCCTGTCTGCATAAGATGATGATTTGGCCATGAGGGAACAGGAAATCAAGTGAGAGGGAAAGCTGATAAAAAATGTGCCTGAGTTGGAGAAAACAGCTTGTTCCTAACCTCTCAAGTCCTGAAGAATTATAGTGATGTGCCCATGTCATGGTTTGGCTTCATCCTAGCTCAAACCAGGACATCCCAGCAACAATGAGAGATGGGTCTAATACACCCTTTCCTCATGGATGTTAGCATTTGTCTTGCACCATCCTGCTCTATTTATCTTTATATTAATTTGTTAGTGATGAGTAGTGAGTCTGCAGGTTCACTCCTGTCCATTTTCTTCATCAAGACATTATCCTGTTAAATTTAAAACTACATTTTAATTAAGTGTGTTCATTAGTGTAAGTTAGGTACTCCTTGTTAGCCAAGTGAGTAATGTGTGGTAGGTTGGATCTAGATTCTGAATTAATTAGGAAAATTAGTTGGGCAAGATTTGCTGTTGGAAGTATGCAAAGTCCTGTAACTTCCCTTCTAATTATTTAGGACTTTGGATGCATTATGAAATAAATGAGCAGAATAGGTTTATTATACATTTTTTGTTTCTTTTATTTTGTTTCAGAAAAAAAAGGTTATTAGCAAGGTAAAAGAATTATTTGTTCTGTCCTGATCCTGGGATGTGGGTACTGAGTGTCATCCTTTTTCAAAGATGAGAATGTTGCCAAAATGTAGCACACAAGCTCAAGCGAGTCAAGGTAATTAGGTACCCACTGCTGAAGATGTAAAAGCCGTTTCTTCAGGTTAGTATGGCAGGTTTGTTTGTTTTTGGTTGTTTTTTTTATATAATGTACAGACTAGTATAGTTTGACATTGGTGGCTGCGGTGAATTGCTTCCCACCCCTCATCTGTGGGAGATGCTGTAAATTTTGCAAGCTGAAGGGGAAGAAAAAATAATCTGAGCACAGCAGACACAGTCTGAGGAAGTTAATTTAACATTGCCAGAACTGTGAGTATGTGCTAGTGCCTTGTTTTCTTAACTGCCAAGTCCTTTGACAGCTTCTTTTCATGGGAGGGTAGCTGGGTGACCTCTCCTACTGGTAGGTCAGCATTCTCTTCAGGAGAATTTTAGCATACTTTGACTTCTGGACCTCTTAGCTTCTGAAGCAGTCTTTTGACAAATTCCGCTGGCATTTATCTAATTATAATGGTTTACTTTGTCCTAGTAATCGGGCAAGATCAGCTGGGGTGCAAAGATGTCTACCAAGTGGTGGTCATGCCTGTGCACCTGGCCCAAGCAAGAACTTCTGTTCATGAGCTCAATTTGCTGAATGTGAGGTGTTTCCTTCTCTTCCCAGTGAGCTATAACTGTTTCCTTTAGAGACTGTGGGTGGCTGGGTGGGAGGAAGGAAGGAAAGGCCTGTGGTGATGGGCTATTCTAATAGCAGATTTTCAATCTCTCCCTTAGAAACTGGATTGCTTAAATCACAGAAATTCTCCATTTAATGTGAGAAATAGTAGGTGGTGAGGGGGTAGACTAATGAATTCTCTGACTGATTTTTGTGAGTGAGTAACAATTTGCTGTAGTATGGTGAAGCACCCAGATGGTAGAGGGGTGGGGGTATGTACTGCTGGAAGCATGTAATGCTGAGATGGCAACGATGTGAAGTTCATGCTGAATCT